GGAAACCCTCCAACTATAAATAGAGACTTGCCACCTTTGAGAGGAGGCAATCTGATTGAGTCGCCTATAGCCATAATGGTGAATTTCCAGATCAAAGGAATAGAGTGAATATCTTCCACCATGCGGATTCCAGGGATGAAGAACCTCTACATCAAAGATGTGACCTAAAAAATCTAAGAAACTAGAACTTTGAAGTAAAAGTGGATTTGTTGAATTTCAACGGCCACATGGATCCCAACGGGTTTATCGAGTGGCTTTGAACCTTCGAATGTGTCTTTGAGTGTCATGACATCCCACTGGATGGAATGGTGAAGCTAGCCACCAGCAATTTAAGAACAGTGCATTATTTTAGTGGCAAAATTTAAGTATCTACGTGAGCGTGAGGAAAAATATAAGACCACTACCTAGTCCAAAATAAAACGAGAAGTAACGCAAGTGCCTACCAATTCACTACATACCGAATGTTCATACTCTAATTTCAAAAGTGAAGAAACCGCATCACCGGATGATCAACACATCTCACAGGCAAGGTTCAAACCCAAGATTTTACAGCCAAAATAGACCTAGATGAACACCCAAGCCGAACCCTGCTGAGGAGAAACTGGTTCAGAGTAGAGAACATGTGGAGCGAAATAGTATTTCTAAAATTATCTCCACCAAAAAGTGTTTTAAGAGCCACGAATTTGAGCATATCAAATTAAATTGTACAGAGCAAGATGTTGAAAAAAAGGATAACGACACAGTAGATACTGAAGAATCTGAGGATTTAAAGGAGTACCAGGTTCCAACTGGTGAGGAAAAGATGAGCATAGTTCCAGCTAAGCACATGAGAGAGACTCCAAACGAATTAACAGTGATTGTCTCAAACGGTCTTGAGTTCGAGAAACCAACACCAGATGCATGACAACGCCAAATAAGACAAACTCAGACTTTTCAGATCTACAAACTCCTTGAGTTGCCCTTGTTGAGGGAGGTCCAACAGGTCAGAAATGAGGCCCTTTTCTGCTACGATTGGAAGATTATATGAAGTTATTTAGATATTAAATTTAGTTTGACAGTGTACCCAACATTAGATGTCAAGAAAGGAAGGATAAACCACAACTTTGAAAATTGTCTTAGGAACTTAATGGGAAAGGTTCAATGGGATCCAGGTCCTATCAGATAAGAAGAGAGGCCTCTCCTGAGTGGTTATACTTTAGTGTAGTCCAGCCTACCATAGACTTTGTCCCAAAGTTGATTCCTCCTTGCTTGTTTATCAGATACACTCGAACAAGTACGATGGGTGTAAGAAGCCAATTCGTGTTTAACGATTTGAGGATTGGTTCCTGAGGATACACATCCACGTACAATTCCAGCTATGATTGTGTCAAAACAGGATGGATACCTATTCTATCAAGATATATTTTGGAATGGCAACACCTACATAATTAACTGATTAGGAGATTGTTATATTTCTACCAATTTCGACGTGAGAGACCTGACGTTATAATATGAGGAGACAAAAGCTTTAACAGATAAGGTGGGAGCTCCCCTAACCCCCAGAGACTAACGGGAGAGATTTCGCTTCACACGCAGGACACCGCGACTTTCGTGAGCACAAGAAACTGACCATGAGCCTTGTTTTCCTTTTATGATTACTACCTATTATCATCAATTCTTTTTAGTCATTACCTATATATGTGCAATTACCGATACCTTGCAAAGGTCGGAGAGGTCAGCCCTTGGACAGGGGTAAAAGAGGCTTGGATGAGGCAAGGGATTGTGGAAACGATAGGTGATAAGGTTGTGGTGAGGTTATGGAGGCGTAAAGTTGTGGGCGAACACAGGAATGATGGGGGTGAAGATCTGCGACCCAAAGGAGGGGCGGCAGAGTAATTGTGGCTCGATAGTGAAGTGAGGTGAGGAAGGCAGCAAGTAAGAAGGGAGCAGATGGGGTTTGCGGCAGTACAATTGATAGGGAGCGGGGAGAGGGAGGGAATGACCAGCGGCTGGAAGTAGGAAAAAGGTAAAGGTCGTCACCATCTCGAAGAAGGATACAACCGAAGCACCACTGGTCCTCTGATACAACCATAGCAAGGGAAATTATTTGACGGCAAGAATCTGAAATATGAAATAATAAAAAACTAACCCTAAGCAAGCAAACAACAAATATATAATAAATAATAGAATAGGAAAAGGAGGCCCTCCATTTTGGGCGATAAACCAGGCTCCTTTGGGCAGCAAGCAGATTAAGAAAGGGAGGAAAGACCAGTTGGTTTAGGCATCAAACCTGCGTCAGTCTCCCTGGATTGGGGGAGCTTCGACCTCATTTGTGAAAGCTTCTGGTTCTTTGTCTGCAATCCCAAAACAGCGGTGAAGTTTTCTCCACTTGAGAGCATACATCCATCTCGGTCCAACCTTCTTGAAGCTCATTACTGATCCAGCTAAGGCATGCCTGTCACGCATATACTACTGGATCTTCCAAAGGTAACCCAATATTAGCTCAGCCAAATCTAAAGTGAATGGAACCTAAACCTTCTCAAATAATGGTGGACGGAGTGGCAAGATATCGATCGTGATGTCCTGAAATACTCTGTCGTGTACGTCATGTGTTTGGAATCGGTGTTTCAGTCCTATCATCCTCTGTTACACAAAAATTGGTCTCACCAATGCTACTTTGTTGGCAAATGCACCTGTGATCTTGGGCGTCGTCGAAGGAAAAAGGATGATGCATTTCTATTCCTTGGTAAAGGAATAGGTGTTTCTGAATCTGTCGTGCTCAGTGCTGTGATTAAATTGTCACGGTCTCCCCAACAAGAGGTGCAGACATTCATGAGGAACATAGCGCACCACACCTGATCCTGCAGCTAGCTTCCAATTGAGAACTCCACTAGGCACCTCCGTTCAACTCTAAACCAGTTCTCCTTCTTCAGCAACGTCAAATAGCACGATTGGGAATACCTCTGAGTCATGAGATCCAATTTCTTTGTCATCTGTGTAGATCACATTCTTACTGCTTCATATTGATTTGTAGTCTCTATGTCCTCCAAATGATGTCTCATCTCCAGGCCTCCTGTGATACTGAATTTTGGAACGTTGTGGTCTTTCTTCTTCATCAATGAAATCCTCCATATTGAAGAGGTTGAAATTCTCGTATATTTTGCCTCTTCGACTTTTCCTGTCACCATAGAGAGTAAGGCTTGGTTTGACATGGCATCAGCGTTCAGAAAAATTCTTTTAAACAGAGTGTTAACATAAGCAGCATTATAAAGTTGAACTTTTTAAAATTAATAAATCGTTTGATTAATACTAACTTCTCAAACTTAAAAAAGTAAAAAAAAAACCTCATAAATGGTGTTAGAAACTCTATTTTTCCCCCACTCTCATAAATGATATCAGGAAGCTTCCTCCATGGCATCATGCTTTTGTCGTCCTTCTACGGAGCCGGAGAAGAGTTGGAGAAGTAGAGCCGACGGAGAGGAAATGTATTGAGTATAAAAATGTTGGGGATTTAAAAAAAAGGATAGAGAAATATTGAAACAATGGAATGGAGTGAAACACCAGACCAATCTCGTGATCTGAAATGGAGAAAAAATAGCGTTCCGTTCAACGGACTTCCTGACGACAATAAATTTTGGTTGGTGTTCTCCGAACCACAATGGAACTTCACTACATCGCAAAACTAGGCTTAAGTCCCCCCTGGGTTTCATCCTCAATGTCCGCAAGCTGTCGTTGAAGTCAGCGAACCTCTCGTTGTATCTCTTCCCAGGTATGCTTAGTCATATATCTCCTTTGTGGCAATGCTGGAATTTAGAGTGGAGAGTGAAAGAGACTGTAAAAATTGATTTAGTGTTGCTGATTTTGAAAATCAGCAAGAAAAAATTAGGCTTGGGTTACAGTTTGGCTATGGTTTGGAAATAGAAAAGAAAATTTTTGATGGAGGGGAAAGACGGATACTAGGAAACCCTATGATAAGACAAAAGTTAGGCTAGTTCTGATACCAATTAAAACCGGAGTTAACCCAAAAACCGATATGAAAGAAAATTTTATTACTCAAAACAACGGATTACAAGCAAGACTCAAAGCAAGAACAACAAACAGAAACAACAAGCATACCCCATTAGGGCCGAAGAGTCTGGCCCTTCGACAAGGGTGAGAGAGGCTCGGCTCGGGTGAGGTAAGGGATGGTGGAGACAGTAGGTGAAGAGAGCAGAGTTGAGGGTATAGAAGCACACATAGATGATGGGGGTGAAGGTCTGTGGCCGAAAAGAGGGGCGTCAGAGTAATTGCGGCTCGATACTGAAGTGAGGAGAGGGCGCTAGCAAGTAAGAAGGGAGCGGGTGGGGTTTGCGGTGGTGCAGTTGACAGAGAATAAGGAGAGGGACGGGATGATCGATGGCTAGAAGTAGGAAGAGCCAACGATGAACAGCGGCTAGGAGAATGATTGCTTGGGGGAAATAGGTAAAGGTCGTCACCACCTTAGAGCGGGATACAACTGGATCACCACTTATCCTCGGATATAGCCCTGACAAGGGAAATCGTTTACTGTAGGAATCTAAAATCAGAAATAATCTAAAAATAGCCCTCAACAAGCAAGCAAGCAAACAACAAATATATAATAGATGATAGAATAGGAATGGGAGGTCCCTCCCCTTTGGGCGTGAAAGAAGGTTCCTTTGAGTGGCAAGCAAAAAAGGAAAGGGAGGAGGGAGGAGAGAGGAGGGAGCGATAACTCCCGCTCACAGGCTGGCTGGCCGGTCCAACCTCCCTGTTGGACTGGCTTCCTCTAGAACCAGTCGGTTCAAGCATCAAGCCTTGCATTAGCCAATTGTAGCAATTTTAGTTTTTCCTGAGCGGTTATAATTTTCTATTTAAATTCAACAATAATATTGAGTTTCTTGTTGCAGTTTGGGTTAATTCTGATATCAATGATAAATATTTTTAAATATTTATCGACTAACCAATTTCAATGGGAATAATGGTCATAACAAGAATGACAATGTATAGAAAATTGGAAATACCCAAAATGCTGGCAGAGCACACAATCTCCGCCAAGGCCCTCCATCTGCACCTCTCATTTCCAAGTATCTTTTCAGTCTCACCTGTAAATTAAGCAGAAAGAAATTTGCAATATTCCGTAATACTAACTTAAAAATATTTTGCATCATGATATCCAAATAAGAAAACCTCAGGAAAAATTGTTGTTAGATGATTCTCCCAATCAACAAGAGTTGGTAGTTCCCCGGGCATTGCGGGAAGCTTGCCATACAAGAAGTCCTGTAGATGCAACCTTTACATATTAGGTTTCAAGTAAGTATATCAAATAATACCTTAGAAGGCTTCTACAAATCCGGTTAAAAACACGAAATATATTTAAAAAAATAAATGGTTGAAATAAGTTAGGTTAGAAGAAAACCCGAAAGGACATTCCGGAACAATCTATATACTTCTTTTTGCGGTAAACAAAATACATAGGAACATCTAAGGCATAATCCACATATGCCTCGAACCTGGAATGAAAAAGTTTCATTTTAGAGTTCACGGTAAAAAGAGAGAAAAGTAGCAAGAAAGTTGGAGCAAAATAATTCCTATCACCCACAATTTAATTACAGATTAAATGAATGGAACGATATCACTTTTGTAAAGTTAATAAATTTTCACAACAATAGCAGCGTTTCAAGAGAGCCCCGCAATTTGTGAGCTCAGCATTGTTGACAGAGACAAAAATAAAATTTTACATTTTTCTATTGGTCAAAGCAATTATTGCCATGGTAATCCCTGCACAAATGCTGTATTGGAATTCTCCTGATCTTATAAGGAATAAGTAAAGGTGCACATAGCTCAATAATGTTTCTTTTGTCTTATAGCCATTTGACAAGTCTTATAGAGTGAAACAATTTGTCTATTTCTAGACTTGGTCACTAAAATGTATCCCTAATCATAACTATAATTTGATTTAGACTAAAATATCTCGTTGCACCACCAACATGTAATTTTAAAACAAGAAAGATAAACCAAGAATGCGAAGGAGAAATACAATTTTAACCATTAAATCCTTTGTTAGGCTCAGACTATTCATTATTTAAGCCATATTATATTTAATTAAAATCCTTGCAAAAGGCATATTCTTGTTTAATGGGATCAAAATCAATCACTTATAGTAGGTTTATTCTTAACTCCAACATAATGTTTCAGTGTAAATGTATGTTCCTGCAACAATTCAACTCATTTAGTATGCTCGTGTCCTAATATCTTTAAGAATTAAACTATTTCAAGGCCCAATAACTAGAATATTGGGCAAATTTCTTGGGAAGCAAATAATAAATCAGTACCCAAGTGATTGCACAACAGCATGATACTCGTGTAATTTGAATATTTTATTTAGCCTTATCCAATTTCTCACCAAAAAAAGTAACCAAATGTCCCTCCCAAATCAAATAATTAAAATCTAATATAAAGATCATAAGGCCTATTATTCCAGTAAGTTCAGAATGAAATGCACAAAAATAATGCACATGACATTACTATTCCAATTCCCAAACCATCTAGTTAAGTATTTATTAGGCCCTTTTGATGAAAACCAAGGATGAGAAATCCACGCCAAACCAAATAGAAATTTTTACAAAAAATTTAAAATCATAAAAAACATGCTTTGATAAAAATGTACACCAAATTAAATGAGGCAAGACCAAATCCAGCGATGAATGCAAACCAAATTAGACATAAGAGACAAACTCACAAATATATTAATTCAGTCCGTACACCAATATAAGAGAAAGACATCCCGAATAATTTGATAATCATTGTTTGCACTGCACTCAAAATCTAACCAGAGTCTATGTCTGACTGAAAAGGATAACTTCACTAAGCAATTGATTGAATGTTTAAATTTATAAATAACCCATTTATAATCATAAAAAATTTCAAAAGTAACAGCTTCTCATCTCAAAACATTCAAAAATTGAAAACAATTCCATAAATTGGAACCCACTCACCAAATCCCGCAAGTCAGCAAAATCCTAAAAATTGATACAATGAAAGTGCCACAAATCACCAAAAAATCACACATAGAAGGAAATCAAAAGCTAACGCCAACGATTATCGCAACAGTACAGCAGCCACAAATTCTCAACCCTCAGAAAGAAATGAAGGAAGAGTGTGCTCCAGCGCTGAAAATAGTAAAATAGCAAGCAACAACCACCACATCAGTAACCTTTATCAACAATATCCAGTTGCAGGTATCCAGCAATCAAAAAAAGGAATAGTGAAATGGTAATTAAAATAAAGCGGAAAACAACAAAGAATCTAACTCATTAGTCATTAGAGGCATGGTTGTAACAAAATAACAAATAAATAAAAATAAATAAAGTTATGAAATAGAGATAACCAAAATAACATCAAAACTCAAAAATTAAGTGTGCACATTTAAAACTGGCATCCTGCCTTTCTAAAAAATATAAAATTTTATGTTTGTATCACCTTGGTGTCTTCTAGAGGTAGATGTAACTTTGCATCATGTGTATTTTGTTTTTTTTTTTTTTAAATGATAGAAGCACTCTTTATAAGGTTAAGGGTAAGTCAAGTAGGGTTGCAAGCCGAATCAAGCTTTACTTGCTAACGAACACACAAGTCAAGCTTTGTTTGTGTTCAAGCTAAGAGTTGAGCTCTGATTTTATAAGAGTTTAAATTTGAGTTTACTAAAGCATGACTTGAAAGCTCATCTAGCTAATCAATTAATTTGAAACAGTTATAATCAACTTAAGATGGTTCACTGACACCCTTAAATTATTTGTAAGCTAGTTTAAGAAAGAAAATTAACTTCATATGCCTCCTAGAACAAATAATTGGAGAAATATATACTGTTTAATTTTATTTCAGAGAAATATGCAATAAAATTCATGGACAAACTTATCCAAATTTTATTTATGGATTGCATTTTGAAAGACGTAAAAAAAGAAATTAGCTCATACAAAGGTTTAAGAAATATTTGAGCGCGATTCATGTAGAGTTTGGTCAAGGTTCGAGCAATATTTGAGAAATATTTGAGTAAGGTCCGAGCAAAATTTAAGCATCATTCAAGCAAACTTTGGCCAACAATCGAGCAAATTTCAAGCGAGATTCAATTAAGGTTCGAGCAAAGTTTGAACAAGGTTCGAGTGTGGTTAGAATATGATCCAAACATGACTGGAACAAGTGATATACTAGCAGAGTTGAACATTTAATATTTGTTTGTTTACTTACCCGTTGAGCTCGAGCCTCGCATTCATTGATTGAGGCGAGTTCAAACTTAGCATGTGCGCCTGAGTAGAGCACGTGCTTGGGTTCAAGCTACAAACTAATCGAGCTTGAGCTCAATTGGCACAGTGGCTCGAGCTGAAGCCAAGCATTCATTGATCCAAGCCGAGTTCGAGCACAGCATGTGAGCTTGAGTTTAAGCTACAAACAAATTAATCAATCCGGCTTTGATTTACCTCTAACTTCACTCATTTACACCCCTAATCATTTCCTTTCATTTGTATAAGCAAGGATATCAATAGTCCCCAAAATGTCATGTGACGAATAATCTGGACATGAAATTTATATTACTAAAAGTTTTTAGTGGAATTAGTGTCCAACCTTGGCATTGGATGGGTTTAAGATACATTAATCAGCAAAACTAATTAGTCAGAAGCCATTAATCATCAGTGACCCAGTCTATTCCATCAGGAAAAGCAGCAGCAGTATTATCCCAGATACCACAACTTCTCGTATAAGAAAAACAAGAGGGATTTCAAAAAGAATCAGGTCCTTATACTGCAAATTTATGGGTTGGGCGTCTTATATGAATTTAAGAAAATAAATGAGAACTAACAATTAAAAGCCAGAAAACCATCAAATTAAACAGTGGGGTTTCACAAGTGTTATGTGTAAAATCGCATGGAAGATTTTAAAGCTGATCTTTAGCCCAAATACTTTCCTTCTTAAGATAACAGTAAGGTCAACAAAAATGTAATTAAAAACATTACGTTACCCAAAAGAATCGTCAAAAACAAAAGGAAGCATTCCGGCCCTGTCGTTATCAGTATCCGTCCAAATATGGCTGAAAGAGCAAACAGCTAAATAATAAAAATAAGCTCCTCAAACAAGTGAGAACTAAGCAAACATAAATTAGGTATAGAGGGAAGTGCCAAAATAATCCCTTGACTATTTAGATGGGGTTGTTTTAGTCCTAGAGTTTACACAAGTGCTAAATTACTCTCCAGACTGTTTTAATGATGGCTAAAATAGTCCTCATTATGCCCTATTTCAACCATAATAGAAGAGTCGGAGACTAAATTGACTCTTTTATAAATTACAGGACTAAAATGGCCCTCGCAAAGAATTAGGGGACCATTTTGACACTTTTTCTCAATAGGTATATATGTAGGCATACCTTCTCATGCTAAGAAAACCATTTGGTTTTCCTTCAGTAAATGGTGAATTTGCAAATATTGCAGTTGCGATCTGGTACAAATATAGAATAAAAAAAAAACAGAAGAAACAGAGGTGTTAAAGCAAACAAATAAGTGAAAAGCACGCACAGGCTGCAAAGCAAGACCGGCGCGGAACTTCCTGATCATATCTGATTCAGAACTGAAGTCAAGATTAACCTATGAACACAAACGAAATGTCAAGTCATCAATCCTTCTCCACTTACCCCGATACATAGTTATATTACAACAAATCCAATTAGGATTTGATAAAGATCCCATGAGGCAACATTTCTAAGCAGAAAAATACTTACTTGAACGGTACAGGTGCGGAACATCATATCAAGTCCCAAAGACCCAACTTTTGGCATGTAGTTTCTCATAATCTCGTACCTTCCCTGTAGAAAAACTTCTCATGTGCTCGTTCATTAAAGTAAATTCTATGTATTTAAAATATAACATATACAATTTGCCTTTTACATTTATATCCCCCAAATCTTTCATATAGCATAAAAAATAGCACTTTTTTACTTTTAAAAGGTGAAATATGTGTTTCAGGGATATGTAACTATGTAAGGTGGCATATATTAAAAAATTGAAGTTTAGGTGTTTGGTATGTAAATACATAGGAATTAAGTGATATGCATGTAAATCTTCAGAAATGCCAACCCCAAGTAGTGGGATTAAGGCTTTGGAGTTGTTGTTGTTGTTGTTGTATGTAAATCTTCAGAAATAAACAATTCTTCCCATTTAAAATAGGCACAAGGCATTCCAACCAAAGGAAATAGGAAACAATGATACTAGAAACAGAAAATAGCCGAGCATTCAAATATATATTTGGGCATAGTGTAGATGGAAAGTGTTTCGCATAAGATAAAGAAAAGGGGACATTTACATACATACCACACAATTCTTATGTATTTATATTTCTAACATCCAAACTTTGATATTTACACTTGTTAGACTTTGGTGTCATAAACCTATGCATGCAAAGGTGTATTATGTGATGTTAAAGATTTAGGTGGAATGCATGCTAATATGAATACTTAAGCGTTAGATATGTAAATACATAAGAATTTTGTGGTATGTATGCAAATTCCTCGAAGAAAAAACAACAATCTAAATGAGAAGTAAAGATCATTAAATAAAAATGAATAATAAAAGGAAGATACCTTTGGCATAATAGGAATATCCTTCAAAGGCCATTTTGGCTGAAAACCAATTCCTAAGAAACCAATGCCCATTTCCTCAGCCACAGCTTTTACCTGTTTAAACAATATGCCATAGTCGATTAAAAAAGAAGCCCATTGAACTTCTACTTATTACTCATTAATAAATATACATTTATGTACTTCCAGATATATATCTGCACAATGCAAAATTAAAAATGATGAACTGACTGGTTAAAGCAAAATTTAAAGATGAATTGGATATTAATTGAAACAGAATCAGACTTTAATGTGGTGTAACGCTGTCCAAAACAGCGATTAGCCCCAAAAAGAGCAAATAGCCCAGAAATATCAACTCATACAGTCATAAGGATGCCCAGCCTTCAGACATTAAACCAACACAGCAATTTCTTAAATAACATTTACCATTTATTCAGTGCTTAATAAACGTTTCAGAATTCTGACAAAACTCTGAAAACTGCATGCCCACAGTATTCTCAAACGTGGTTCCATTATTCTTTTATTTGTTGATATGAAAATACCATTACCATCGATGGAATGAGGTCTGAAGTAAAGAAAGATGAGAAGGTGCTGCTAATTAACAAATGGAAAAATTGGGCATAGAGGAAAGTTCACGAAACTTTCATCCATACACAGTATTGATATAATCAAAATTGCCAGGATGTTGCATGCACAGCTGTGTACAAAACTAAAAACTTTAAAGCCTCGTAGAGCAGAAATGCCTACAGAATATATCTAGCTGGGTATTGATTAAAGTAGAATTCTCGTATTAAAAAATGATTTACAGTATAACTGGATACTTTTGGCATGTCATCAAATGTTCCTGAGAAATTAGTAACCTTCGAAGACAGAGAAAGTTGTTCCTAGACAAAGAACATCCAGTCAAATAAAAGCAATATTTGATAAGGGTGTCGAATAATCAATAATCAGAAAAGTGTCAAAATAGTCCTCTGATTATTTGCAGAGAGTCATTTTAGCCCGAAGTCTATAAAAATATTAATTTAATTCTCATAATCTTTTAATATGGGCTGAAATAGTCCCACAAAAGACTAGTTCAGCCCAAATTTAAGAAGTTGGGGACTAGTTTTGCACTTAAATATATGTTGAGACTAAAATGACCATGTAAACAGTCATGGGACTATTTTGACACTTTACTCGATCAATAATTCACTTAGCACATTAAATAATGAGTGTTTACTTCAAATAGCACGGAACTGAGGATTGCATGGTTATAATCAAGCCGCATAATCTGGTAGAATTCCTGAGATGATGCATCCTATTTAATGTTGTTCATTCCAGTTGAAGTGGACAACAAGTTTTAAACTCTATGTATGTGTCAGCAGGTCAGGCCTTCACAGATGCAACATGAAATATCCATCCACTTAAAGGCAATCAAAAACATCTATAAACCACAGATTTCTGTGGTAGACTAGAACTAGATTGTTAATACAAATCCAATTAAACAAACATACATGAAAAAAATGGAGTCTGCAGTCCGATCATGACCATGAAACATAAAATATACTCCAAAGGCATAGAAAATCAGTAAAATCAACGAACATGATCAAAATAACCCAGAAATATTGAAAGGTCAATATACAATCTCTTCTCTAAATTTATACGTAGCCTCTCACTTAACATTTAACTAAGAAGCCACCTTCCCAAAGAAAACAACAATTTACAGTGCTATGAAGTTTCAGTAATCTGTGTCATACTGGTCAATATTTGATTTTGTCATACTGGTCAATATTTGATTTTGCATTTAATATTTGTAGTTCCAAAAGAGCTATGCGAACAAACAAAAAACTGGCTGTATAGAAACAAGGGCATGTGAAGAAGAAAATTTTGATAAAAATCTTACTCATTTCATTAGCACTTTAGCTTATATAGGCCTTACAACATTTACAAATAAACCCCTAGACTTCTTCTATTTACAAAAAGAACCCTACATTACATACAAATCTCAATAGCATGTTCTTGGTGAAAAAATAAATAATTGCAAAATAGCCATGCAAACAAAGAAAATGCATGCCAAAAAGTAATTTTTACTGACCTGATAAAGATGCGAGTTGACCTCAGCACAGGTTTGATGCAAAGTTTCAAGGGGTGCACCACTAAGCTCAAACTGGCCACCTGGTTCAAGTGAGATGCTTTGCTTTCCCTGTTCAAGGGCATAAATAAAAAAAGTTTGTACGTTTATTACTAGAATGGAGCAACAAGAATAAAAATAGTTCCGTCCAATGGATCAGAAAGAAGTGTTCAAACAAAATGCTATGCTAGGCATTTATTTAGCAGTAAATTTTGTCTTGGGTAGGAATTCAAACAACCATAACATACTCGGGCAACGAATCTTTAAAATTCTGAAAAGGGATAATTACATACATAGCAGTTGAAACATTGCTATTTATAAAACTAGCATTCAAGTGATTTTTTCAAACTACCGAAAAGATGTATTTATGCAAGCCAAGATCAAACCAGTGAGAATTTAATAAAAAATGAAAAATATGGTTGGGGTTTTGTCATGAATTTTGATAATTGGGTGAGAATTTGAAAATAGATGAAAGAAGGTGCTAGATTTGTAAATAACAATGTTTTGAGTGCTCTTTATGTGATTGCCCCTTCTATAAAATGGAAAGCATTAACAAGCCATCTCTATTACTTTCTAACCAGGAAAGATGAAACACCGATTAGTAGCGCATAAAAAAGAGCAAACTGATTAAGATGATCACCAATGAAGATGCTCATAAGACATATGGGAAGCATTAACAAGCCCTCTCTATGACATTCTGACCAGGAAAAATGAAACACCACTTAGTAGCTTGATGAAGTCGTAAAAAAAAAAGAAATTTTCATACCTAACACACAATTTTCGTCAATTTATTTGACACTTAAACTTTCATATTTACATACACGACACTTTGGTGCTTTAAACCTATGTATGAAAAGGAAATAAAATAAAATAAAATAAAATAAATAAATAAACCTAGGTATCAAGAGCTGTATTTCACTTTTAAAAAGTGATAGTACTGTTATTTCTGAAGTGATATAATAGATCTGAGCACTATGTGTGTAAATATGACAATTTAGTTGTGAGATATGTAAATAAATTAGAATTGTGTGCTACATATATAAATGCCCCTAAAAAACAGTCTGATTGAAATGATAATCACCGAATATGCTCATAATATAACGACAAAGCACACATGCAATCAACTTGAGATTGGTGGCAAATAAACCTACCATAAGTGAGGAAATGGACTTATCAGCTGTAAAAAATTATCCCATGCTATCACTTAAGAAGAGCTTTTCAGAGCAATCAGCATTCAACTGTGAATTGCGAAGCTATTCATTTTAAAGAGAATATACTTCATACCTGTTTAAGTCCAATTACATGATTCTCCTCCATTATTTTGTCCCATTCAAATCTCTCAGCAATTCCATTTAGCAAGGCAGCGATTTGTTCATAGCTTATAGGGCGAAGTGTTTCAACTTCAAAGCCAAACTTCTCATGTTCTGTGCCTATCCTGCAATTAATAAGTCACCCAAGAGATAAACCAACTGAAACAAATATAACATATAAAGCTTAACGGACTAAATTCACAAAATGATAGAAATACCAATAAAAAAAAATAATGGTGTATTATTCTAAATGAATAAGTTTATTAATACACTACCATAACAAATGATATTACTAATATATACCTGTTTATGAGTATAACATTTATTTTGTAGCATATCCCAACTATTTTATTGACTGAAATAAAGGCACAAAGCCAGGTATAAATCAAATTTTGTAAGAACTATCAAACATTGCATTAAAGAAAATCACGGCTTAGACTTGAATATATGAACTGTACCCTCATAATGGAGTAATCACTTAAGCTACAGCTCCATGATTTATTAGTACGGCGCTTGCTCTGCTCTCATTAACATATTTTTAAATTAGATCCCCCGCCCATTATTGGATGGCACCCAAGCTTGTTGTACGAAGGCTGCTAAAGATGAATAACGCACTTGCTCAAGAAAAAAAACATAACCTTACAAATATTTTGTGACCATTCCCAATTAAGACCAAATTTTCTTGTTTCGCGGCTTTTCATCATTGCCACTAATTATAATTTTGCACGAATGCAAGAACCAAGGTGGCCATCCAATTAGAACATATGTGAGACAACAATAATGAGTTTAATTACAATGTTTTCTCTATCTAAGTTTGAGGTAGTAGAAGAAAAAAAATAATTATTTGCCTGTTTGCATTTTCACAGGATATCATTGTCTCGGCTCTTCAAAATTTATACGGATGACAAAACCAAGGTGACTAATCAAACAGGACAAACATCAATGATGAGATTGATTGCCACTCTTTTCTCCTTAATTAGTTGATGTGTTAGGAAAAATAAATAAATTATGCACTTTAAATGTGTTCTTTTACTGATTTGTTTGAATTATTTTATCTATTTAAGGAACTTTATGTAAATATTCATACAAAACTTTTTCTATAGAAAGGACCCTAGAGCCTGATCATTTATTGGATAATTTTCCCACATAATTCTCATACAGTACCTAAAATATTCCCCCCGTCAAAATCCTCCATGCCTTCCACTCACTATTAAAAATTTCTCCTCAATCAGGATCTGTACCCATCTCCTTCACCTTCAATTTTTCTCTCAGAATTCCTCTTGCTCAGTTTCAACTTTGTTTAATTCCTTGTCTCTCTTCATATCCTTTCACATCTCCTTCTGACTTTCTTCCGCCAACTCTCTTTCATATTTCTTTCCTAGGAACAACTATGCCAACCCCTTCTTCCACACTTAATTACAATTATACTTTAAATCAAAATCTTTTGATTCTTAACCACCAGTTTTTTTATTATTATTCTTAACCACTTGTTGTATCAATTTGTTGCATGCATCAAGGCATACGTTCAAAACTCATGACTAAGGGTTGTTTTTCCTACAACAACTCTCCACAATTTTGGTAATCATGCCCCTAAAGATATTGCACCTAATACTCATCACTCTCCTTGCAAATAAACATCTCCCACCATAACTACTACTTCAAATTTCATATAATCACCACCACCACCACTATCACAACCACCAAAATTAATATCAATACAAACCTCTCCCCCACATCTACCTAAACATAATAATCATTAGAACAAAATAACTTTCGTTATAGCTCAAAGCATAATGAGATGCATGGCGTGAACAATTACTATTGCAAGGTGTATATGATCAAATAGCGTGTGATATTTGCACTTTAATTATACTATAATGCATAGTGCATGAAGTGAAGAATGTGTGCTATATTGTTGTTCAAAAGATGGAGAAATTATGGTTGTATTTTTGTTGAAGAGGTATGATCAGGATGAGGCTATGTTTGATCAAGAAAAAGAAGGTGGTTATGCTGATTATGACTTCGAGATAATGAAGAAGAAGATTGGGATATTTTGATTCATTACGATGATAAATAAGTTAGTTTTGTAATTGAATATGAGATTTTTTTTGCATATAACACTCTTAAAAGAGTTGCTTCTAAGAAAAAAATTTAGACAGTATAAAGAAAGATTTTAGTATGGAATAAAAACTAAGCCTAACATTAAAGAAACTAAAATGAAAAGGACCCCTTTCAGGTAACAATTTCCTGAATTGCCTTTTTCTACAAAGCTTAGATGTAGGTTCCATAAATCAAATACCCTTGCAAAGTTTAAGCACTGATTTTCTCAAGTGCCATTCCTACAAAGTGGACAAAAGGTTCTGAGGCCATAATTTCCCCAAAATTTGAGAATAGGCATCTTCAATTTTCCTCCTTTAGAGGTTGTTGAGGGTTTCAATAGTTGCACAGTTCTATAGACAATAGTTACGACGTTGTAAAAAGCAAACTCATAATATGCTTTAAATCATAGGAAGGAGCTGACATCATACATTTTCGTGATGGTAAATGGATCATGACTCGACCAAAAAGAAGTTAGAGAAATGCCTCTATGACTCATTGAAGAAGGGCAAAAGGAGGAGCAGTGCTATCCCTGATTTTTTTAAAACTTGATGACAATTCTCTAATATTGCCCTCTCCAACAAGTACCTAAATCCTTCTCCCCCAGTGATAGGGCAACACAAAAGATTACCCTTTTATGGAAGCATGGTCGAACCTGTCTAAAAGAGAAGACACTCCCAACATGTCCTCGAGAAGAATATTATGAGGGATAAGGCTATCTTATATTTGAAATCAGACGCATGCCTTTTATAGCACGATAGTTTGAAGTCTCTGACTTCAGTAATTACAGAACACCACTACTAAAAACAAAACTCAAATGAAAAGCTAAAAAAACAATGTTCGAAACAGAATCAACCATCTTGTCATGCTACCCAAGCAATTCCATTAACTGTTATCAACCAGTGATAATAAGTCTGGGCAGATGAAGCACTCAAGGAACTTTCAACCTGATTAAAAATGGCATGGTGAAAAAAAATAACTAACTTTCATAATAAGAAGGTAAACCTCCATTGCTCCTTTTGCTTGCAACCAGATGCCAGATAATTAACAAGATCCTTTTTCGTCAAAGGTTCAGTCAACACGGTGGTATCCTCCGCTGGTGGACTCGCTGCCACAGTAACTTGACGCCCTCGCTTTAATCCAGGAAAGTCCCATCGCAGGCCCTGCTGCCTCCTCACGAAAGACCAGCAGCCCGCAACTTCAACCTTCGGTCTAAGACTAATCATCATCGAATTACCATTGCACTGTACACCATTCGTCATCTCGGATTGATGGATTCGGCAGGCATGAAAGCGCGGTACAAGCGCCATCCTCTAATCTCCACTGCAGCAACCCCCAAACGAAAAATGAAAGCGAATGAGCGATTCATAGCGCGCAAACGGGGAGATAATATAGCAAGTAACGAATCGATTTGTTCATGAAGAAGGAATGGATGTACGGATTGGCGGGGAGTGGATGTACCTGGAGGAGGGTTGGAGCTAGGGTTTCCGTTTCAGAATCCGATGGAGTATCCCGATGCTGGCGGCGAGCTTCGAGAGTTCCCAAAGGTTTGAGGGGATGGGTTATGGAAATAACGGCGGGAGCCAGTGCTGGATTCCGTGGCGCGCACAGCTGACGTCGCAGTGGGGTGGAATGGTTAAAATCGGGAACGGATACGTTACAACATAGTCATGTCACTACTTTTAAAAGTTTCATAAATTATTGCTACTTCATTTACTTCAATCAGATTACAAATATTTATTCAATCAAAATCTATCATATATATATATTATATATATACAAATATTTACCTGTACACGTGACATATTCTGATTGATGTTTTGCAAATATTTAATATATAGGTGAGTACCTGTACACGTGACATATTCTGATTGATGTTTTGATACAAAATTACATAATGGCTCTTGATGTAATAATTTTTTCAAAAGTTTATTTTGAAAAATTATTAGTTGTGGTTGATAATACTTCTGAATGATGATTTTAATATTATCCCATCATCTTGAATCACACGATATTAGGGCCGCATTAAAACTGTCATTCAGAAATACGATTAATCACATGACTGTACATTCGGACAGTTGCTTGTGAAAGATATGTATTTTGCAGTAATATAAAATTAAAAGTGCAAAATACAGCTATAAAAGCTATAGAAAAGAAATAATGTGATCGGCATCTGTCCTGGCCATATTAATAAAAAAACTTGTTCACAATTGTGAGCATCCGAAGCAAAAGACCTATGCAAAGCAAACCGAGCACAAAAGATTGTCATCCGAACATAAAGTTGTCGCATGTAATAATTTATCATTTTCTATTGAGTTTTTAGACTCATTTCATTATTTGAATATAAATTATATTTTAAAATAATTAAATTTCTTAAAATATTTTAATTTCATATATATTCAAAAACTAGTAGTAGATTGTAAATAAAATTCAAAGTATGATTATAGAATTTGTATTTTAATAATTTTTAATATGGTTATTTTTTTCTATGATCATATTTTAAGATGAGCATTCTAAAAATCAAAATGTTCCATCAATCAAAGTTTAATTTTACTTTTGTTCGACAAAATTATTAATTTAAGAAAAAATAAATTCTATAGATAATTTTTTTTTTTACATTGTCAACAACTTTTGCTAACCGTAGTTAATTCTTCTTTTCCAAATATAAATACTCATAAATGTGAGGGAAAAATTCACACCTCCCCAATTAAAAAAAAACTATTGCATAGAGACACTGCATTCCGATTTATAACATAGATCACGGTGATCTACGGTGATTATGCAATCAAAATTTTTTAAAAAAATAAAAAAAGTAAAATGGGGCCCACCAAAATACATCATCACCTAAATCACCGTGATCTACAGTATAGATCAGACACCGCATGCATCTCTGTCCATATGCAATAATGTTTCCCCCAATTTAAAAAGTTTGCAATTAAGTTATGACATAGGTGATATGGTAAATATGTAAAAAAAATAAAACTAGGTGTTAGTTGTATGAATACATAGAAATTGAGTGGTGCATACGTAAATCTTTTTATATTCCAATGAATCATTATAATAATCAATAAACAAATGGCAAAGAAAGCTAAAGTGCTATTTGCAATTCCAAATGGGCACGTCACCGGTTCCATCATATGACTTTATGAATATTACAAATATAACCCCAAAACAAAAGCACTAGTATGGTGGTGGTGACAGAACAAAGGTATAATCATTCGAACCTTTGTCATTTGGTCATAATAGACATATTTATTCATAATAAGAATTTGTGTTGTGATTAATTTAAGGCTTATTATTGATGCACGTAAATTTTTTAATTATTTATCTGCAAAGTTTGTGGGTAACTGCAAAAAAAAAGAAAAAGTTAGGATTATAAGTATCTTCTCACAAATAATGGAGTGTTTCGCTAGGAAGCATTATAAGAATCATCCAACGAACATAGCTGCGCATCATAGTTACTTTTGTAATGCTGATGCTAGGGGTGTAAACGAGCCGAACACGAACGAGTCATGCTCAGCTCGTGTTCGGCTCCTTTATATTTCAAGCTCAAAAATTGTGTTCGTGTTCGGCTCGCTTTTTTTAATTGCCCCACACCAGGCCTTTTCCAAAAAAATTCACGAACAAATATCATTTTAACAACTCTAATCATATTGTCATAAGACATAAGACAGTAAGGGTTTGAGCAAGATTTAAAAATTATTATTTATATTAAAACATCATTTGAATCTAATTTAATATTTTTTATTCTATTTTATTAATCAATATTTTAATTGATTATAAATCTTTGTAGTCTTGTAGTCAATTAGATTTTTTTAAAATACTACTTTATATTATATATATATATATATATATAAACTTGTTGAGTAGTATTTGGAGCCAAGC